TAAATTGTGACAATTTCCTGAAGTGTTTTGGAAATTTTCACGGAAAATTCTTAACAATGTAGAGAGATACACTGTTTGAAAAATTTGGCTGGAAAAGACTTGAATTCAATTCTAGGGGAAAATCAATGGAATTTCAAGTTTTTCTGAAATTTCACAATTCACATGAATTTCTAGGCTGATCCTTTGAAGTTCTTCGAATTCCAGGAATTTTTCGAAGAATTCCTTGCACATTCAGAGGAATCTGGAATTTAAGGCGACATCTCTCCCAATTTTCCGGAGTTTTCATCAATTTTCCCGGAATAATTAAACTAAAATTTACAATTCCCACGGATTTCCCCTGAAATTATGAATTTTCAGTAACAAAATTCCTCGAAATTTTAGTGGAGATGGTACTCGTTAGAAATTTCCAAAATCCTTATCGGAAATTTCAGCGGAATATTGTCACATTATTTCGCTTTATTCCCCTGATGATGTTTTTTTTTCATTGACTCTTTAAGACTTCCCTTTCAGATCGAGGGGAGGAAAAGTAACTGAGGCTTTACAGTGAGGAGTTTATACTCGCAGCGTAAAGAAAGATTCTCCAATTAAAAAAGTATAATTCTCAGCAATATAAACGAAAAAAGCGGGAAAAGGAGAGGGTGAGGCTCGCAGTGAGCACCAGGCTTTCATTTTACTTTAATTGAAATGAAATTGTGAGCCAGGGGGGCACCACTCCTGGCTCCCTCCCGCATCCGCATAATGCTTCTTTAATACTCATTCACCTGTACTCTCGTTGATATTAAATTTGGGGAATTTCCCAGCCGATGTTACGGAATTTTATTACTGAGTCGTGGGATCGATGGACATTGTTTCGAAATCCCCTCACTGTCTTTGTTCGGAGCGTCTATTTACCGCACGATCAATCTTCGGATGAATGAGGGAGATGAAATGTTACATCTGGGGGGTACTTGGCTCATTTCAGTGGTTAGAAGCGCTCGTACGGTTCTATCCTATTCTATAAAAGATGAAAGTTTCGGGAAGTTGGTTTATATCGAAACATATCGACCACTTGCATTCTCGCGGCATTTTCATTTTCTTCCTTCTTAAATTTTCATTTATCATGTACTGATGTACTCTCATAATTTTTTAATTATTATTTGAAGTGCTGGGATCTTTATCATAGATTATTTAACACTGTTGTTGCTGATTTACATTTCTCAATTCGTTATATGTATTACAGTTGGTCTTCTTGTTTCGTTTTACATCTTTGATTCACATTCTTTAAGGGGTTTGCAATTTTTTTTATATATTTATGGGGAGGAGTACATGTTGAATTTTACTTTCATGAATCTCGCAAATGAAATTTGAGTCTTTTCCATTTTTTTTAATTGGATAAAGGTTCTAAATTCTAAAGTGTCTGTTTTTTTATTTGAGAGAAATTTAGAAAATTATTCAGTTTTCTAGAGAATGCACGAATTTTTTGAATAATTCAAGAAAATTGTTTATTTCTTTACAAAATCAATTCATAACACTTCCCTCATTTTCAACAATTACGGGCATTCATCGGGTTATTTTGAAAAGTGAAAAGAAATTGATCAAAGACTAGGAATTATTCATCAATTTTTCACTTATTATTCATCTTTATCATTGATTTCAATCCCTTAAAATTTGGAAGAAAGAAAGGAAACTTCTCAGAAGTAAATGAGCTGATGGAGCAGTGCGCGTCCTGTCTAGTCCATAATATAAATTACCTCGAGCGGGATCAGTCATCATTAATTAAAACCCTGAGGGAGAAGTTGGATATTCTTTGCGAGTTTTAATTTTCGAGTTTACGTGTTAATTCAGAGAAATCGTCAGGGGAAAAAAGAGTCAAGACGGTTGGCTGGAGCATTAGAGGAGCGAAGGGTTGATGAAAATTTATTCTGTTAGAGACCCACGAAAACACTCTGGCTTCATTTATGAACGAATGCGCTCTCGAATGCATGGGATTTTAAATATGCCTGCAAGGAATTTCGCACGATGATTATTCACTGGAGATATTTTGTATAAAAATTCATCGGCATAGACTGTTATTCAAAAGACAGAAATTTATTGACTCGTCTGATAAAAAATTGTTTATTAAACATTTCTATTGAAAAAATGTACATGAAAAAGGCTTTCCGGTGAATTCGACAGAAGTTATAATTTCCAGGTTTCCTCAATACTTTTTAATCCCTCGAAATATAAAGCCCAACGAGATTTTATTAACGCGCATGGAATATAAATCCTTCTAGCCCCTCTCGAGGTAGTTTAATTATTTCGCGGCTGGAGAGAAAGAGTCAGAGCGACGGCAAAATTTAATTTTCACTGTTAGCACACGTTTTCAGCGACATGTTACATTATTTTTCCGCCTCACACGATAACACTTGGAGTTATGCCTTACACCTCGAAGGGTTATGAGGATGGAGGGAATGACAGGCCGGCTATACCTGGTTTTGTGGCTCTTTTAAAAATGATTAACCAACGACACTCAGACCCTTGACAGAAATGAAAAATGGCTTATGCCTCCTCCGAGACAAAGGAGCCATTAGCGGCTATGTGTCTCCTCGGTGCTGTTGTTGGGCAAAGTGTTGCGCCCTCGAATTACTCCCTTCGTTGTATAAATTCACTAGCCAAGCTGTTGCCGTGAGGAATTTTGCAAACGTGATGGATTCATCTGATGAGAATTTTTTCAATTCTGTGAGGCTTTCTCTTTCGATTTTTAGGATTTTTATAATTTTGGTAATTTTTCATTTTCGGAAATTATATTTCTATTGACAAATAGTCATTAATATGCACTTGACGACACAAATTTATCGTCAAGTGAATTTTCGGATCCACCTGATGAGAATTTTAAAAATTCTGCAATGCTTACTACTTCAATTTTTATGTGATAATTTTCGATTTTAGAGTGATATTTCTATTCAAAAATATTTAATGTTAAGAAGCATAACAAAGATATAAAATTAAGAAGTGATATTTTTTAATGTAATGGAAATGCGTGAATAATAGATTTTTCGGGTGACGAAAACTCCCGCGAAAATCGACACAAATTGATTGTCAAATGAATTTATTGTTTCTTATTACAAATCACTGGAGTTTGGTGGATTACTGCTGAAGGTTAATTTATGGCTGTATTTATTCAATACCTAGAGATGTACCATCGGGGCCAACTGCCGCCTCCGAGTCGAGTGGTTACGGTGCTCTTGTAATCGGGGACACGTCGCGCTGACAACCAATTTGTCATGGCTAACGACATTCCATTAATAATTCGAGACTCGAAGCATTCGCCGTGTCGAGATATCGATGATGCAAATTTATAATGCATCAAATTTCATTATTCGTCTCTGTCCGCGTCTCGGAGCACTGCCTATTCATTCTGGTTTCCATATAGGGGTTCAATACTTACCCAGGTCCTTCATTTTTGTTCAACCCTCTTCGGCTAATATTCTCTGATTTTTTTTCCTCTCTCGGATAACAGAACGACGGGATAAACGAGACATCCAACGAGTCTCGGTTCATTGCTGGTTTTTTGGGA